GTATAGATCTATAGTAATTAGTAATAGATTCTAAATCTAGTTTACACACATTACTGTGTAATAATATTCATTATTCAACCTTAGTTTAATTATAGTTCAGCTATAGTTAGATATAGATTAGATATTAATAGAATAGTTACAATACATTTACTAAAACAAAATCAAACTGTCCTACCTGTAACTGTCTTGTCATGTTTTTGATATGTTGCTAAGCTCATGCCTGGAATACCCATCACCATACAAAGTGTCTGCAGCGTAGCTTGGCGTCCACCACATTCATGACTGAAAAGTGTCATTCTTCTGTTGACCTCATACACAGACTTGCTAGTGTTGACTTTGGGTGAGGAATGCGCTGAATTAGTGTATGTGCACAGCGTGCAATGTATACTCATGATGGAGCAGAAACCAGCACTATCGCAACTTCAACTGTAAAGCCTGGCTGCATAAATAGTGGGCACAGATGACCTTTTCCATTTGAATCAAATGTAGTAAAATCCGTTTGATTCATGATTGCTTGTATTTATGTCACATTTGTTTGCAGATACATTCATCAAATCGATTTTCTTCCTCGATGCACTAATACTACTAGTACTTGCGATCGACAAATCTAGGTTATGGGGTCGAAGGTCAATGGTCGTTTATTTATTTCTCGCAGCAGCAGAACATTATTTTCTGCATGGATTTTTTGGTCAAGGCATTTTTTAAAGTAGATAATCAGAAAAGAATGTTTAAAGCAGATTTAATTTCAATTAATTAACCAATATAGGCCGGAATGTTCATTTTATTCACCACTCCTGTTTGTAGGTCAAGATGGCGAAACCAAATCCACATGACCACTCAATAGCCAATCGTTGCTATTTTTGCTTTTCAATAGAATTTCACGATTGGCCTATTTTATCAATTAATTTCTTCCCAGTCAAACTTTTTACGATTATACTACTCATGCCCACATATGGAGTTTGATGTCAAATTTTACTGTGTAATAAACAAGGCCTACCCCACCAATTTTTGGAACAAAGAAAAAGTTATCTTCACCAGTGTGTACACTAGTGTCTGTCCGACAGACTGATGTATGGTGTCTGGCGCCTCGCGAGCAATAAAAAACGTAAGGCATGCTTGACGATGGTGTCAGCATAAATGTGTGAAAAATGGATGGGGGGTACCATTGTTTCACATCGTAATAAAGGGATAAGTGTTAACTTCTAGAAGCCTGAAGCTTTTGAAAATAGATAGCCAAATGGTGTTTCCAGCCAATAAAGAAAAAAAGTGTTGGAGGATAAAAAGTAATTTTTATCGAAAACATGGGTATCTTGTATCCTTAATTACTGGCCTATACTATAGGGCACTAGTTATTAATAAATTAAGACATTGCTTTTGGCTATTATTCAGCTATCTATTATATTTGTAACAAAACTTGCGTAAAAGGCATAAAGCCATATATAATTAATGAGTCACCTTTCTTTCACATTATTAGCTTCGGACAATTTTACTAACTAAAACGATAGTTTTTCTACATCAAATAGTTATGAAATGAGATCCAATTGAAATTGGGACTTCCGATTTTGGATAATTTTAGATACCGATGTCCGATAATTGACTCTTCCATAAAATAGGTGTGTTGGGTTGTTAGTAGAATTTTAATCTCCACTAATTTTATGGTTAGAAATTAGGGTTAGGCTCATGGTAGGACCAGGGTTTGGGTTAGGGCTTAGGGACAGAGTTAGCATTGACAGTAGCCAGCCATGTGTGTATTTAGTTAACTACCAGTAAGTAACCTAACAGTACACCCCTTTTAAAGGCTTTTTTAAAGAAGATTTCATTATCGGACACCGGTATAAAAATTCCCCCCCCCCCCCTAGATTTTTTTGCTATATGTGTTCGCAGATCTAAGTTACTCTAGATGACTGATGAGTGAATCACTGAAGTTCACTGAACTGAACAACTCAAGTTGACTTTTTTTTGTTGTGATTTTGTCACTTTTTGTGACATGGTGAGGCTGCTGGTGAAGCAGGTTTATCACTAAATTCTAGTATTTCTCTCTAACTTGGAGGCGTGGTGGGTTGCTAACAACAATATGGCGTCCGAACCGGACGCTTGACTTCCGACGATTTTTCGGCCAAATTCCAGAGACCTTCTACTAATTAGTTTTTAAAATGTTTACCACGCGCAAAATGGCGGGACTTTCACGTTATAACAACAAGCTATAGGTGGCAGGGCTATATATGCCAGAAAAGCATTTTAAAATTTGCGTTGGAGAATGAAGGCTAAATTTAAAAGTTGGTTTCATCAAAAATACTAGAACTTTTTAAATATCGATTTCCATATTACAAAATTGATTTCCATAGTAAAGCATTATTAGTTTTATCAGTCTATGAAAAAATAAATCAAATATCGTCAACCGTTTTTTTATAAGACCAGCCGCAAAAATGACAACCACAATTTTTTTTGAAAAAAAAAACCACATGACCACTATTTGGAGATCACTAGTGAGGAACTCTTGTGCATGGCCACTTAAAAAGTCTAACCTGATTTGTGGTTTTCTTTACCTTCAAGGGTTAGAAGAGTTGTCATGGAGAGATGTGTTGGACATGGCAGTGATTGACAATAAATATTAAATTAAGTAATTTAGTTTAAAAAGAACTAAAAACTCCAAAGTTAGTGCCTAATAGATTAAATATGGATGTCTATTTGAGTATTATTCAGTGGTCATGTTTAAATTGATAATTATTTTATTAATTGCGTAAATTCTAGAGGAGCTTACACTTTTCGGACACACATAGCGAAAAAACGCAATGTAAAAATTCCATGCGGTCTCATTCAGTAACCGCTTAACATAGAAAACAAAAAAAAGTATCATATCTATCCGCAACCATTCTACTTTAATAATGTGTGTGTCATTTTGTATTCATACGCATAGAACTTAAGCTATTCTTGTTATAGTGACTGGGGGGTCTTAACGTGTGTTCGAACACATGTAATACAGTTTTACGTGTGTTCGGACACCTTTACCCGTCATCGGACATAGCACTTTTTGTTCATTTAGAATAATTTAAAGTCAATTTAATGAATAAAAACATATATTATATGCATTTATATTGTGTTATTGATTGTTTGTGAGGTAATTTTAATAGTATAAAACCTTTTTCCCACACTCCCAAAGTTCATCCCATTCAGCCATTGCGGCTCGCGCAGTACGCTGCTAAGCCAGCCAGGTCACATGATTCCCCCTCCTCTTTCGCATTCCACTGCCTTCTTGACCTTATTTTGACCCTTTCCCTTCAATAACCAGCCCCTTTTATGCTCTAAATTCTTATTTAATAATATTTTTGTGTTGCTGTCCGATCCCATGTAAGGCCAAATAAGTTAGCGAACACCCCTTTTTTATTGTTCAAGCACGAAAAAACCCATTAACCTTGACATTTACGATGTTCCATACATATATAGAAGCTATTTATAGTGTAACCTTTTAGCTAAGCATTGATTGGTTCAAGTTTTGCCCCTAAGTCCAACCCTAGGTCACTTCATCCGGCTGGTGTAAAAATAGAAATGTGCGTACCATGCAACGTTAAAAAATTTCTAAAAATAATTCTTGAGAAAGGAAACGGAAGTACTTGACACGGAAGTGTTCATAAATGAACAGTTTACGTGCAGGCGCCGTGGTTTCGCGTGAGACATGCTAATTAAAGTTTCTATGAGCCAAAAACCGACGAAGTGTTCGGTCCTACGTAATTTTTGGTGTGTGTCCGAAAAGTGTAAACTCCTCTAGAGTAAAGTTCCACCTGTGGTCACACATAGCGAAAAATTCAGAACTCCCGATTTTCATCGGGCGCTATTTTATAACCGTTTCACACAGAAACAAACCAAAAGTACTTTATTACTCCACTGCCATTCTACTCTAATATGCATGAGTTATTTTGTATTCATACGCATAGTATTTGAGATATTCATGTTTTAGTGACGAACCTCCTTGTGATCTACTTTTCCCCCCTTTTTTTTTGCCTGTGGTCACCTGTCCCTGCTTGTGATCACTAGCGTATTTTTACATTTTGATCCAATTTTAATAATTGAAATAAACATTTTACCCATTTAAACATGTTGATGATTGTATAATTAATTAATAGATTTGCAAAACCAAATAATAACACGTTAATTAAATTTATTAACTACAAATTACGGATGACCCAGTGATGACTCAAGGGACACAACCATAATAATCATATCAAAGGGACGTAACAATCACTAACAAGACAAAACGTAACATTTGCTTCGATTGGATTGTATGTAGAGACACAAACTAGTTTTAGAAGAAGTAGATGATTGAAATAATTTAAAACAACAGAAAAAATTAGAAATTATACAGGTTCTAGACTTAGCTTGAAATATAGAGCATCTAGATCTAGGCTAGTCTAGCTCAAGTCGTTGGTGACCACAGCGAGGGTAAAACACAAAAATCGTTACCCCAGCTGTGGTCACCCCCATTTCACCACTAAGATTCTTTTAATAGCCTTAACTACAGTATTTTCAGTGTCCCGCACATACATAGAAGCTATTTATAGTTAACCTAGTTATAAAAAGCTTTAATTGGTTGGTTTTATTCATCTCATCCGGGACCTAGTGCTTTTCATACGGGGGAACTAGAGTCGCCTACGACGTCATACCTCGAAACTTGAAAATTTAAAAACTCATCTTTCAGAAGGAGGGAAACAAAAGAATTTGACCTGGATATATTTAGAAATGGACATGTTTACAGCAGATATTGGTAGTTTCGTATAAAACATCCAAACAAATATTATATGAAGCCATAAACAGGAATGTGACCACACCGTGGTTTTGACCACACGAGGAACTTTACTCTAGATTTAGTGAGAAAAACTACTAAATTCTGGTTTTCAGCTTGGATATTTATTAATTAATGTTATGAGTTTTTATGAGTACATAGATTATATCTATAAACTTAGAAAATGAAAACATTTTAATACGATCTAGATCTATTAACTTACAAAAGTTTAAGAATATCGAATTGTTTGTTTTCTTCATCACAGCTAGAGCAAACAATAAATAATAATACCGGAAGTTTAAATAGTACATCCGAGTTCAATCTTTTCAACAGGAGTTTAGACAAATTGTAGATTATCTTTTTTATGAAAAATAAATATAGGTTAGGCCTAGAATATAGGTATTTTTAGCGCAATTTCCATTCTGGAGAATTGCGTTTATTAACCCGTCATTTCTGGATGTATGAATGTATGAATGGATGAATGGATGGATGGATGGATGGATGTGTGTCCGCAGCTTTAAGTCGTATCTCCTCCTCAACGAAGCAATATCGATGACTAGTTCCAAAAGCAATTATGTTAAGCAAGTTACGAGGATGAACATAGGTTATAAAAATTCCGGGTTTCTTTCATGGATTTCCTGGAAAAGCCAAAAAAACCTCGAAAAAAAGCAGTTTTTGGCCCATATCTCGGCAACCAGACCACTTAGCGACTTGAAACATGTACCAATCGATTCCTGCCATAATGTAGAACAATATTGCCGAAGAAAGTTTTCAAAAATATCCTTTCGTTCGGTCACAAATTTTTTTTTTAATTCATTAAAATTTGGACCGAATTAGTAGGCATTTTTTCCCAACCACACCACACGCGTCATCACGTTCAATAGCTGCACCATCACGTTCTATAGCTTCGTCATCACGTTCAGTAGCTAGGCGCGCAATGGTTTTTAGTCATGTAACTCTATTGTAAATAAAACATGTAAAATACTGAAATTTTTTTAAAATAAAAAACGTTTTAATAACTAACCAATGGTTTTACTAACCCTGCTCTTGATTTACGCTACGACAGAGCTATTTTTAGATAACATAAGGAAATTGCGCTAAAATTGTCACTAGACTTTTTAATTAACTTGTTTTTTTTAAATTAATAGATGATTGATCTGTTTTGTCAAGACTTATTAGTCCAAATTTCAACTACACTAGTAATCTTTTCACTAAGAAATTAACAAAGGGCTTGAACATATATTATTACTGCGTTACGTAGGCTAGGTCTTACTTTTAAATTAGGATAATGGTTAACATAGGAGAGAGTGTGCTTGTTCTAGCCGCTGAAATCAGTAGGCCCTATCTAATAGTCTTTTTGAAATTAAATTAAAACGAACTCTCTGCTAGATGTTAAGTTTTAAAGTGGACACGTCTGCAATTGACAGGCCGCTTTTCCCAGGTGAATACGAACTTCGGTCAGAGTCTCTTCCAGGCATCTCTTCGGGGGGGGGGGGGGGGCGAACCACCCCCCCCCCCCCGAACGAAACGAAATTTATATAATTTATATAGAAAATATATACTTTTAACAGTGTCCGCCCCCCCCCCACCCGAAGAAAGTCTACCGCCCCCCCCCCCCCCCCCCCCGAAAATTTCAAGTGCCCCCCGGAGAAAAAAGTCTGGAAGAAACACTGACTTCGGTTATGGGAATCTCTTCTTCGTGCAATAATGTTAGTTTCAGGAGTCAAAGTATAAAAAATAATATAGCCTTTACTTTAACATCTGCCGCCACCCCCCCCCCCCCCCCCCCCCGGAAATTAATTTAAGAGCCCCCGGAGAAAAATGGCCCAAAGAAACAATATGTGCGCGATACGGCCAGTTGCTTTGAGCCCTATACATTAGCCGGCCTTTTTTCTGAATTTACTTCCATGGCTTTAATCCACCCAAGAAAAATATGCTAGGCAGGCTGTTTAATTGTGGAATTTGTATCTCGTCGATGGATGGCTATCCCTATCATACACCTGAATTCCTTTGTGTTTTTTTGCGTTGGTGTTTGCATTGTGTTTATGTTTGCGTTTTTGTTTATGTGTGCGTTGTGTTTGAGTTGCGTTTGTGTTTGCGTTTTCTTTCGAGTTTGTGTTTGGTTTTGTTCTTTTCCCAAGTTGGTACATTAAAAAAATATTCACCGTGGTGCAGAACGGGTATGCAGCTAGTATAATATATAGAGGAAGGGGTGGGGGTGGAGGAATTCGTACATCATAAGAAAAAGTTAATTAAAGACTAAATTTAAGGTCCTAGAAGAAGTTTATTTTACTTTACAACAAACTTTGTTGAAAACCAACCCAAAAAATATGACTTCAAAGTGTACACATTGAAGGTCAAGTCACATTAATTAAGACAACAAATAAACATAATGGTACTAAGGGGTCAGCCATAAATGACGTCACGCTTTTTTGACGATTTTTACCTCCCCCCTCCCCTCCGTCACACGTCGTCACAAAAAGTCATACCCCCCCCCTAAAATGACGTCACACCTCAGCCTACAACCCACCTCAAAATTGCAGTTGAATTTTTTTTAAAGATCGATATTTTTCTAACATCTTGTCTGAACTCTGTAAAAATAGAGTATTTTAAACAATTCCTATTACAATTTATAAAAACAGTTTTCTAAAACGCGAAATAGGGTCTAAAATTCGTTTTCTAACATTGCTTTTGTATAATGCAAAAGCGTGACGTCGTACCATCTGAACCCCCCCCCCCCTCCCCCTCATCACACACCGTCACAAAATACGGACCCCCCCCCCCCTCCCCCCTACGAGTGTGTCGTCATTTATGGACGACCCCTAATTACCCTCACGTGCGGCCCAAGAGTACCACTGGTGAGTCCGATCGGTACTAACGTGTATGCAGAATGCTCTTTGTACTATAAATAGACATGCAATCAAACAATAACTAGTTTATTTTTACAAATTAAACATTAAATCATATCTTCTTTAAAGTTCCCAGTAGACTTGAAGTAGAATCAACGCTTTCGTTTGCTCTCTTTGGAACTGGATATGTTATCATATTGATTGTTTGTCTTGTTTGTCTTGTAGACTTACACTTAATTCTCTTGTCAGTTTTTATTGTTTGATCATTTAGTATGCTTGCCATTTTCTCAATGCTAGTGCTAGTTATTCTTTGGTTTTCAATTTTTTAATTATATTTTATTACCGAGATATTTCTAAACGCTTGGTCAGAAATAGTTGTCTCATGTAGTGTTGCAAGTTATCTGAAGAAATAGAAAGAAGGTAGTTAAATATCTAAAATGTTGCAAGTTATCTGAAGATTACAGGTTACTGAGTCAAATTGTAAACAGGTTGGGTAAATAGTACCACCAGTACCCGCATTAGCCTGGTACGATTCAGCCGACATAGGACTACAAAAAAGTTTATGCTTCCGTGTTTTTTAAACGGCAAAAAAAAATTAAAATAAAAACAAAATGATTTGGTCTGCATCCTAGAAAAATAAACCAGCCACATGTATCCTCTACTGCATGGCACAGCTATAAAGACAGTCTATACGTTACATAGAAATTTAACAAGACCCAAAACAGTCTTACCATTTCTCTTGTCCAATCGATAACGCCATTAAAAAAAAATCATCATACATATTGCATCATCTAGAATGATGTCGGCATGTTTCCGCAAATTTTAAAACGTTAAGTATTGGGGTCATCAATAAATAACGTCACGCTTTTTTTTGACAATTTTACCCCCCCCCTCCGTCACAAAATGCCAGCCCCCCCCCCCCCCCTCCATGACGTCACACCTCAGCCTACAACCCCCTCAACATTGCAGTTGAAATTTTCTGAAAATAAGATATTTCTCCAAAATCTTGTCTGAACTTTGTCAACGTAGAGTATTTTATTCAATTCCAATTTATTAAAACAGCTTTTAAAACGCAAAATTACGGCTAAAATTCTTTTTCTAACATTGCTTTTTTACAATACAAAAGTGTGACGTCACACCATCTGAACCCTCCCCCCTCCCCCTCATCATACACCGTCACAAAATCACGAACCCGCCCCCTCTCCCCTACGAGTATGACGTCATTTATGGACGACCCCCCCCCCTGTAAGCGGAATTAGGGTCGTACGAATAGCTTGCCGGTACGAATGACCCACCCCTACCCTACATTTATCACTGTTCACCTTTCACTGTCCCATGCAGTGGCGTAGCGAGGTCGGGTGTCACCCGGTGCGGCACTTAATTGTGTCACCCCCCCCCCCCACCCCCAGAGGCGTAGCGACCCTTCCCGGTGACAAACTTTCAACTTTTCGATTTGCACCCCCCTCAAACTTTCGATTTGCACCCCCCCCCTCAAACTTTCGATTTGCACCCCCTGAAGTTTTTCTCTATATATGTTGCTGTTTTGTGCCTTGGTGTTTCCCCCCTAAATGGTGTCACCCCATGCGGTCCGCACCCCGCCCCCATCGCTACGCTTCTGGTCCCATGTATCCCCGTATTAAATAAAGATCCAATGTACAATCAGTTGATTTTGAGCATGCTACAAACTAGAGAATAGTAGACACTCAAACAGCAAATATGGTAGAATAGGACCCACAAAAGATTCGCGAGTTGACATTTAGTGATATCGATCGACGATGTTGAGGGAATATAACGCCTTAAAGTTACTTTCACAGAAGAGAATACAATTTCAGTAATTGCCAATTAATACGTTTCTCAAATTTCACCCACACTAAACTAAAGCTACAAGAAGGGAGAGCGCAATGGAATAAGATAGCACAACACCAAAACGAAACATCTGCTACAGAAGTGGTGCCTTGATTTTTTTATGGTGATCGGCACGATGCTTTCATGTTAATTTAATCATTAATTAACAAGGATTTATATTGATGACTAAATTAAGGATGTGTCAAGGCTTAATTAAAATGTGGGGATGTTTTGTGACGCAAGGGGGTTTCCAGAACGTCCGCAACGGTAAAAATGCGCAACCGAGAATTGCGCACCAAATAGCGCAATGGATATAGAACAAACAGAAGTTTGCGAATATAGAAATATCCGCATACGGAAAATAGCGCGCACACAAAAACACACAAGCAAAAATTTACCAATACATCGCAAATATCAATAGAAAGTAAACACTTTATTGTATTGTGCACGAAGTCAGGAAAAGTGGAAATATTATTAAATTTCCCGGTCGGTATTTCGGTTGATAAAAATTTCGATTGTCGGAAAAAAAACTTGAAATTTCCGTATTGACCTATTGTAACTGTAGTTTTCGCCGAGCGGTGGTACTTGTACGCCATTGTTTACTTCTACTTTAATTTTCCAAACCTTATTAGAGATAAATAGCAAATGTGTTCTATTAATCTATCTATCTATCTATCTATCTATCTATCTATCTATCTATCTATCTATCTATCTATCTATCTATCTATCTATCTATCTATCTATCTATCTATCTATCTATCTATCTATCTATCTATCTATCTATCTATCTATCTATCTATCTATCTATCTATCTATCTATCTATCTATCTATCTATCTATCTATCTATCTATCTATCTATCTATCTATCTATCTATCTATCTATCTATCTATCTATCTATCTATCTATCTATCTATCTATCTATCTCTCTCTCTTTCTGTATATATATATATATATATATATATATATATATATATAGGCTAGACTAGATCCGAATATTTTATAATTGCTCTTGAATATTTGTGAATGCATTTAAAAAATTTAGGGTTATTCGTGTATGGATGAACAGAAAAGAAAAGGCACCATCACCCATGGATATGCTATTTATTTAATATGCTTTTACTGACAGAGAGAAATATTTGAAATGGTAATACATTGTTGGTAATATTAGTAATAAACATGGATTATAAATGCTTATACACAGTTTAATGAACTAAAACGTTAGTTTTGATCGTTTACATTACAGTATAAATACATTTAGCTATATACAAACAATTACTTATTTTCATTCAATAAAAAATTAATGCACCTATATTAACTAGACGATTCTATAACTCTAACTAGATCTGTAATCTGGGTTAGGGTCAGGGTAAACTGGTGTTTTCATTATATGGACAGTTCTGTAGATGTTCTTCCAAGCCTTCTTCTGTCGTCTGTAGTAGTTTCTTCAGTTCTTCTATTCTTCGGGTTAGATTAGCATTCAACTTTGTAAGCTCAATATTTTTCTGTGAAAGTATAACCATATTTCAGCAAACCGTCTGGTTCATATAGAAAATCTGGTAGATTACCATGTAGCTAGTTGTACAGGATATTTTTTAAACGACAAGGCTTAAATTGAATCTTTTAAAGGTACTTACACAAAAATAAACCGGGAGTGATGTCCCCTAAACTTTCTCGAATATTCTTATATAAAATAACAGGGATGGGAACTCGGGCTATAGACATGATTTTTAATCCATTTTAAATACTTAAAGTTTTAAAAATAGAATAAAATCTCGTAGACAAATTAATTGCACACCAAGTGAACGCCAAATAAAAAAGTGCATAATAGTGCGCAATATTATTAGTACTTTAAAAATTTACATTTGTTTTTTGAGAAATCGGAAGTAGCGTAAATTACTACTTCCGGTCAACAGAAATTACTCAAAATTTAACAGAAGGTAGAGAATTAGATCTTTTACTTACATGTGAAATTTCATTTATCTATTTGAAATAGTACTCAAGTTATAGGCTTTTGAAAAATTCAAAGTAGGTAAAGTACCACTTCCGGTTATCGGAAATCGCTCAAAAGTTGAGACGGATCTACGATTTTGATAAAATACTTATATATGAAATTTCATCAACCTAGCTGTAACGGTACTCAAGTTATCGTGTTTACACACGGACACACAGACAGACAGACAGACACACAGACACACAGACATACGGACAAGATTGCAACATTATGTTTTTCCGTATCAGTGAGGTGTAAAACGTCGAGATTTGTAAAAATCTCGATTTTTTTTTTTGCACGATTACAAGACTTTCTCTATACTTCGTATATACGAGAAAGTAAAAAAGTTTTTAAAAAAATCAGAGGCAGAGTTTTTAAAGGCCCCCGCACAGACGTACTTCACCCCCACCCCTCCCAGTTTCGGGGGGGGGGGGGGTGAATGGGGTAGAATAAAAATAAAAAACTAAGAAGTTCGGTAAAAATTTAAAAAATAATGAGAGTTAAATAAGGCGCCCCATTTGAGGTCATCGCCCAGAAGGCGCCTATATTGGCACTTATACCTCGGTGTTGGAGACTGAAGGAGTCCATTTTGGCACCTATACCTCCATACTGGAGATCGAAGGCGACCATATTGGCACCTGTACCTCCATACTGGAGATCGAAGGCGTCCATATTGGCACCTTTAATTCCATGTTGGAGATTAAATGCGACCATATTGGCACATGTACCTCCATATTGGAGACTGAAGGCGTCCATATTGGCACCTTTAATTCCATGTTGGAGACCGAAGGCGCCTACATTGGCACCTGTACCTCATTCTACACCTAAACTCAGGCTACATCACAACATTTTATCTTGCGCTTGACATTTAAGGTTAACCTAGGAGTTGTCCACACATGTCTATTTTTGTCTATTTATAGCCTACCTACACACCACCCTTCTGTCTTCAATTTTTGTCATGAAAGCTAGACCCCACCCTCTCTTAAGATAACTTTACATCACAAAATTTTATGCCACCATTTATGGAAAACACTTCATGAACCAAGATAACCATAACAAGTGTGTTATCTAACAAAACAATTTGTCAACTATTGAATATACACCCACATAGCCAATCTAAAAATGTGCAAAAAACCAACCACAAAAAACAACACGAAAACTATTTTTAGTTTGCTAACATTACTGACTTAAAGCAGTGCCGTAACTACCGTAAAGCTAGCGTAAGCAAGGCATAAGGGCCCGAAAATCCTAGCTACGCGACTGACTTGAAGTCCAACATTCGGCAAATATTGATAGTCTACTTTCAATTATCTGAGACATCAATTATCTTATCTATAACCAGACCCACTTACGCGTGCTAAAGAGCTCCTTAAGTCTTGTGTCCTCTCCCGAGAAATCTTGGCATAAAGTCTATTTTTCATGCGAATCTCGTTCCGTCTTTTCACAGCTTCGTAAGATATCTGCAACATAAAGTATAAATAAATATAGATCTAAGTACTCGAACAAAAGGGACAGAAGTGGTCGGATGATAGAGCTTACAACTGATAACACGAAAGGCTCGAGTTCAGATCCAGTGCTAGAGTCCGTGGGAAACTAAGACAGGATAGATGAAGAACTTTTCTTCATCTGCCCCATAAATGGGTCACATACGGGAAAAGATATAGATCACCCCAATAATATCGCGGGTATTTTACAACTTCGTAATCATGAATGATTCTTGCTTGTTACTTTGGGGGGGGGGGGGGGGGGGGGCTTGAAGCTCTTAGTCTCTATATAGCTAACTTTTATTATAGGCCTGTTCACTACACAAAAAGAAAAAAAAACAACAAGGAAACTGAAGCCTTACAGTCTCACCGGGCTGTGTAAAGTCCACCCTAAGCTCTTCTTGACCCATGCTGATTCTCTTCAGCTGAATCTTGCAGCGAATTTCTTCTTTAATTGTTTCGGTAAGAATCGTTTTTAATTTGTCTTCGCCAATGCTAGCATACGTCGGCACCCCAGTTAAACCATCAACCTGCAATGGCACGCGAGCGCCGCTTCTCAAATGTGTTGTTTGTCCACTTCCGGATGGCAAATTTATGGAATCTTCAGTTTCGGAGACGGGCTTATCAAAAGATATACCAGGAATGTTGGATGCGGCTATTGCGTCTTCTGATTCTAATGTTACGAGCGTGTTCAAGATTTCTCCGCCAATAGTTTCCGCTGGAGCCTCATTCTGGATCGCCTCTAACACTTCCGGTTCAATAAAGTCTAAACTCAGTTCACTCTCGCTGGATTGTGAGGCAAGGCTCCCTCCTTCGTCCATCCAGACGTATCCAACAACCAGAATCCATTTTACGCGTCCATTTTCATCGAAAACCATGAGAACAAAGTGCTTATGGGTTCTAAATTGGAAAATAAAAAAAAAAGTTACCTGACTTTTAAACTTATTTAAACTAAAACAAAACAATAGAAACCGAAACCAGGTTTATGTTAAAAAATGATACCGACTTTAATAATGCTTAAACAAATATTGAAAACGTTACAGAAATTCATTTTCATAATAAGAAATAATAATGGATACATTCTTTTATAAGATAACATTAAATAACAAGTTTTATTCCCACATATTTCTGGCTCAAATTAGTTAAATAAAAAAAATTGAATAAAGGACACTTAGCAGCAATTGGATAAAAACTAAGCAAACACATTAAAAAAAAGTATTTGCTACGGTTTTCTACTTTTAGATTTCAATCTTTTGGTCAATAAAATAAAAACAATTCTGGTTAAAACATATACATTTCTTATAAAGTCATACAAAATTGAAAGTAAAAAGAGTGTCAGATAGAAGACATTTGTAAACTAACAATTTTCCGACAATTAACACATTATTTGAGCGTGACTCAGAGGCGTAGCGACCCTTCCCGGCGCCCGGGGACAAACTTTCGATTTGCACCCCCCCCTCGAACTTTTCATTTGCGCCCCCCCTAAGGTCGGCGCCCGGGGACATATGTCCCCGCCCGCCCCCCCCCCCGCTACGCCTCTGGCGTGACTGTATCAATGACTAATTCGTGCGTGAGATGAATCAAGCGGAACGTTATGTAGCCTACTGTTTGCTCACCGATTTTGGAATTCTTATTTCAAAGATTTCCCTTGCATTTTGTAATATTTTTTCTCGGCATAATCTGAGATTAGGGTATCTAAGTTATGAGCCAAAACGGTGAAAGATAAATTTACAGATCCCCTGCTATTGCATATTGTCTTTAATAAATACTTTGAATACAAAATTACCATTAACATATTATTTTTCTCTTATTTAAATGTTCTCTTTAAGAGCTCACACTTAGGCAGTGTTTATTCCAGACTTTTATCTCGGGGGGGGGGGGGGGCACTTGAAATTGTCGGGGGGGGGGGGGGTCGGACACTGTTAAAAGTACATATTTTCTATATAAATTCCATTTCGTTCGGGGGAGCTGGGGGAGGGGGGGGGCGTAGCCCCAAGAGATGCATGGAAGAATCTTTGCACTCAGGAATTCACCAGTTCATATTTCCCTCATATTGAGGTCAACTTATTCAACCATTTTAAATTTTAAAAGCCCACGGGATTTAATAAAAACAAACACCGCAGAACGTTATATAAAAAGGTAGACTAAAAAAATATCTACATATATTTTTTTTACACAAAATAACATTGCCACGCCCTCTTAAAAACACCATCTTACACAAATAAATATCATTAGGGATTAACATTCCCCCTGTATTATATCACTGTAAAAAACACAGTATTAATTAATTATATATTTTTAAAAAAAGTTATGACGGTTGTTTTAAAAGTTAGAGATTTAAATAGTGTGTATGAGTACTTAACATTGTTTATAAAATAATTTATATGATGCTGAGTTTCAACTTTTGTTAAATAACAACGTCAGATGATTTAAAAACTCTGGAACCATCAACACATGTTTTTAGTATCTTGTGGACACACGTACTATTTCTTTAGGTCCATAACACTAGTGTTTACAATAACTTGCCCAAAGTTTTTTTTTTAAATCATGGTTAAAGAGTGGCTGATAATGGACGGAGTAGCGATACAATTTCAGGCTACATCTTTCTATTTTGTTATTCTTACGTAATACGTCTCTTTTGTTTCAAATTATATTGTACCTTATCTATCGGTAAATTGGATACGGAAGTATTTTCAAATAAAATACTTCTAACTCAAATATTTTTTGGGGTATTCATTTTATCAGTTACCTTCTTGCTGACTCAACAAAAGTTACTTGCAAACAAAAAGTGACAAAAAAGTGACAAAAAAAAAAAACAAAAAAAAAACCAGATAAAAACAGATGGGACACACCTTATGCTGATAAACAGAAATTACCGTTTCTAAAAATAAACTTTTATAAATATCTATTCTTTTAAATCTATGAATCAAACACAGAAAGATATTAGTATGGACTATCAGTAATCAAAGCATAATATGATAATACTATCATAATACACTCGGATAATTTTATATGTGCTATAACTAGAACGGGAACACGTGAAATGTATTGCTCACACCCGTTTAGTAACACACCTAAGTAAGCGTTTAAGTAGTGACGGTTTAAAAATAACGACACGTACATTAAACACTGCATGTGTACAGGTCACTACGCAAAAAGATAAAATTTACCTCAGTAAAAAGGAAAATCAGCTTCATAACAGTACAATTGGTAGATTTCCAGTGGCGCGGGAAGAAATTCTATTTTTAGACACGTGTGGACACGTAATACTATTAGTAAGATGTGTTGAATTCTCAGTGTGCGTGTGTGTGTATACGTGTGTATGTGTGTGTGTTTGTATGGTACTAATACTTATGTAGTCGAATACACAAATTAATTGTGTTTAAGAAAATTGAATAGTAGCCTTTGAGTTAGGTAACTATAACTAACAGATTTTCGTTTTCACCTGGAGTTTAGATAGAGAAACCAAATGACACCATATGAGACGTCTCCTTACGAGGCGGACATACATATGCGGACACACACATCAACAAACAATCTTAGACATATACACAGACACACACACACCAATAAACACACCAACGTATAACCAGGCATTAATACGGACACACACACACACCTACAGTAGGAAGACACACATACACGGACACACACGTCAACAATCTTATACATACAGAGACACACTGACACTAATTGACACACCGAAAAATACATAATCAGGCACATATTCGGACACATAAACGTACACGAAGACCCTCATACAATCACACTATATACACACATACACGGATAGACAAACATACACTAAGACACACAAACAAACACACAGGAATACATATACACACGGACACACATACACATACAGCTAGTACTTACACGAAAGGTAGTCACGTCTCAACAGTCCACGTAGTGACGCATATGGACTCTCGCCAATCCTACCCTTCAATGCATTAACAAGTACACCTTGAGCAAATTAAAAAAAAAAGCCGTATAAAAACACTTGGCAGCTTTTTATGCTAAATCTCCATTTACACAATCTTGATTACTCCCGAGTTCACCCCCCCCCCCCCTCCCCTTCATTATCAAGTCAAACTTAATCACAATAATCTGCCTCAACCCATTAAATACATCGCGATATAGGCTACCAACAATGAACATTTTTTTTACATCATGTGTGTTTCTCGATTTACCTCGGCACCATTAAAATAAACAATAAACATGGGCTTTTTAAATGATAAACATTAGTATTAGAATATAACTTTTAAATGAACTATTTTCATATGACGCCACATCACCAAATATTCATTACTGCTCTTCATTATCAATGTATAACCACACTATTATTTACCTCCCCCAATCAATAGAAAATGTACATGTGCAATTAAGTACCACTTTTTGATTTGACGTAATGACATTAGAGAAATATAAAACAGTATTTCATGCAGGCTTTTTACCAAATCAATATTTTTTTAAAAACTGCTTCATAATCATTTTTTTAATGTGTAATGTACCATTATATTTTTACTTGACGTGTTATATTTTTTATTTGCCAATTTGAAAGACGAGCACACTACACACTGGCCACGCAATAGGGAATTTCCGAAATTTGTAATATATTTTTTGAATGCAGCGGAATTCTCCTTTCACACTATCACGGCAAAAGAAGGGTAGACAAACAAGGAAAGAGTATTGCTTCATGATACAACGATTGTCTTTCTTTGCTGTTGATTCAAGGATTTTCCCGATGATTATTATTTTTTTTCGACCAGATGTTTTATATACTGCTGGGTGGTATAATCTTTTCGTAAATTCTATTTCTTTAATTTTAAATCAACTAACTTGTGTCTAATTATAATTGATTTTATACGAAGATAGAACTTAATTAGCAAATTCACAAAAAGAAACCGGACACGTTCAGCAGATATTAATATCTATTTCATATTAAAATTTAAGTTTTAAGCATTAATAAACTAAGAATCCCTCCCCCAATCAAACAGACGAAAAGCATATATTTTTTGCTCGTTGATGATATTTTATTGTCATCGCAGAGCTGATCATTACAGTTAATCTTCACATCAAAGAAACCTGCAATTAGTCGATAATCCCTTAATCTAAGCTAATTCCCGAGTAAAGCCATTGCAGTAATTTACATTGCCAATAGTGACCTCTCTTTATACAAGCCAGTATCATAAACTGGGGTGAGCTGATTGGGTAGTTGTTTGCGGACCTGACTCCATCCGACATTTGAGGAATCAATTGCAATAATTATGAAGGAAAATTGCGAGTCGTTAAAGTTTTGTGTGTGAGTTTAATGATTGTTACAGCTCTCAATATTTTAAAAATTAAATTACATTTACAATCGAGCGTTTAAATTGAGACTACAAAGAGAGAACGGGTGCAGAATATGTAGCTGTATTACTTCCCCTTGGTCACACTTACTTCCCCTGCCTCCCAATGACTACTCTATACTCACCCGGCCATTGATGCAAAAATCAACAATGATCATCCAATAGTCAATAAACAATTACAGCGCTCAATTTTTAATTACGCACAGTATCGAATTATCGAAAGTCTCTAACTAATTCAATCACATTTTTTCTCAGATCACAGGGGAGTATCCAAATGTATTTGCTAGTGAAGTGAACCCACATAGATCTTTTATACGCACATACACACACACACATACAAACACACACACACACATATATATATATATATATATATATATATATATATATATATATATATATATATATATATATATATATATATATATATATATATATAATTATATATATATACGTATATGAAGGGCTCAGTGGAAAAAGTACTTAAGTGTATTTTGAGAGTTTTGAGAAAAATGAGTGCACATTTTTTAAATTGAAGGTGAAATAACAAAACAGCTAATGCGGAGTATTCGAATTAAGCTACTTCGGTAGTTTTTCCATGGCCCAAATTTACAGGGATGGTTTAGGGGAGGTAATCAAATAATATACCAGTCTTAACTCATTTTTGAAAAAATGTAACTTAAGTACTTTTTCCACTGAGCCCTTCATATGTATACTCGCACATACATGTGTATATAAATGTATAAATATATGTGCATATACGTATATATATATATGTATATATACATATATACATTATATATATATATATATATATATATATATATATATATATATTAATGCCGCTAATGTAGTAATGAATAATTTCACTAAACGGTGTAGTTGTCCGGATGGTATATGCATGTGTGTTTGTGTGCGGAGCGGACGGTCAATTTACGGTTACGCCTACGCATGGTGTGTTATTGATTATATTTTCATTTACAAAGCACAACGTATTTTTTGCGCTATTTACCTGCTCGAACTATAACCTTCGGGTCTCTAGTTGGATGAGTACAAAAGGGTATTGTGTTTAATTTAGGAAACCTTTCCCTTTTAGTACAGTTCAAGTGCTACTCTCGCACTGCATTGTAAGTAAACGAAGTTTATGGTTGTCATGGTGAAGTATAATGTTGACGTGGCGTCCATTGTTAAGTCCTTGGGTCTAATGATACACGTTGTTGTAAACATCTACCTTTAGACTAACTAGTGACACTAAAAGTTGTTTCAACTTGGTACACAATCATGTTGGTTTGTTAACGTAGATGAAATCTGAAACGACAAAACACCAGCCGCATACAGCTACATATTGACCACTGCCGTAGTAGCTTATAAAGCTGTTTTAACCTTGTATAGTGTTACATGCAACAGTAAAAAGCTACATGTCAGCTGTTTCAGCCTCGTTTAATGTAAGACTAGCTGAAAAAAAGCTACCTATTAGCTGTTCCATACAAGCAAACAGCTGTCGCCAAGACCCCCCCACCCCTGTATGCAAGTTTCTAAACACAAAACAATCGATTGAATGTTGACATCTGATGCACGTTGGTGTAGGGTTGCATGGTTATGGCTGGTCGCCAGATGAAGCGTTCATTGGTGTGGGTCGCCAGCGATGTCTCGCAATAGGGGTCTGAGATAGCAGGGGTCTAATATGGTGGAATTGTCACGCTTCAGGGGTCTGGCCCTGAATGGATCTAGCAGAGCAGGGAGTCGTACAAAACGGACTTGAGGCACAGCAGGGGTCTGGCAAAACAGGGGTGTAGCTCAATAGGGATCAGGAACAGGAGGGGTCAGGCACAACAGGGGTCAGGCACAGCAGGGGTCAGGCACAGCAGGGTCAGGCACAGCAGGGGTTAGGGACCGCAGGGGTCAGGAACAGAAGGGGTCAGGCACAGCAGGGTCAGGCACAGCAGGGGTTAGGGACCGCAGGGGTCAGGAACAGAAGGGGTCAGGCACAGCAGGGGTCAGGGACAGCAGGGGTCAGGCACAGCAGGGGTCAGGCACAGCATGGGTCAGCCACAGCAGGGGTCAGGCACAGCTAGGGTCAGCCACAAAGGGGTCAGGCACAGCGGGGGTCAGGCTCTTCAGGGGTCAGGGACAGCAGGGGTCAGGCACAGCAGGGGTCAGGCACAGCATGGGTCAGCCACAGCAGGGGTCAGGCACAGCTAGGGTCAGCCACAAAGGGGTCAGGCACAGCGGGGGTCAGGCTCTTCAGGGGTCAGGGACAGCAGGGGTCAGGCACAGCAGGGGTCAGGCACAGCATGGGTCAGCCACAGCAGGGGTCAGGCACAGCTAGGGTCAGCCACAAAGGGGTCAGGCACAGCGGGGGTCAGGCTCTTCAGGGGTCAGGGACAGCAGGGGGTAAGGCTCATCAGGGGTCAGGCACCAGGGGTCTCAAGCATTCAGTCACGAAGTCAAAATATCCAAACCCAAAAAAATAAAAAAACAAAATCCACACATGTATGAGGACAGTTTTATCCCACAGCTCTTAGGTAAAAAATAGACCAATGATAACATTGCATGCTAAGTGCTGTTTAAAAATAAACCGCACAAAATCGTATTCCTAGCTTCCGGTGTGGATATTTTTATCTGTTGTTGTGTATGATAACATGTGGCTGTGGACTGACGCGAGATAACTACCACTGGGAGAGCTCGCTAACATTTAAAATTTAACAGAAGTTAGAACAGCAGAAATCTTTTGTTGTTGTTTAGCTAGGCTCATATGCTGATTTAGTCACTGTAAAAATAGGACAACGTTTGCTAACATTCAGGGGCCATCCACGTATAACGACCACTACCATATTTTAAAAAAAAAGCTCTCATTCCCCCACCCCTTAAAAAATTAATGGAACTCAAACTATATAAATTCGATTACAAGTGTAATAAGCCATAACGGTTGTTTGTTGTTTTGTTGACGTTATAAAAAAAGCTAGAAAGAACTGAAAGGACTGACAATTTCAATTGTGACTCTGCTTCTGTTCGATGTCTCAGTTTCTGTGACTCGAAATATGTAGTGATTGCCTACGTAAGCGACTCTCTATAGACCCTAGCCCTGGATCCGAACTCGAGACAGTCGTGTTAACATCCGTGTGTTCTACCAGCCGACCACGCCGTCCCATACTAGGCAGGATTAGATTACTTCCTTAAAGCAGAAGAAAGGTATTAAAAGTTTAATTTTCTCTGTAGTCGTACGCAGCATTACAAGGTATAAGACCACATCGGGTTCATGACCGCTACCTCTATCTCTTCCATCGCTTGCTTACTGCAGAGGGGTCATCCATTAAAGACGACACGCTTTTTTTGACGATTTTTACCTCCCCCCCCCCCTCCCCTCGGTCACACATCGTCACAAAAAAGCCAGACCCCCTCCCCTAAAATGACGTCACACTTCAGCCTACAACCCCCCTCAAAATTGCAGTTGAACTTTTCTTAAAACATCGATATTTTTCCAAAATCTTGTCTGAACTATGTCAAAATAGAGTATTTTAATCAATTCCTATTGCAATTTATTAAAACAGTTTTCTAAGACGCGAAATAACGTCTAAAATTCGTTTTCTAACATTGCTTTATTATAACGCAAAAGTGTGACGTCGCACCATCTGAACCCCCCCCCCCCCTCTTCCCCCTCGTCACACACCGTCACAAAATTACGGATCCCCCCCTCCCCCCTGTGAGTGTGACGACCCCAGAGGTACTAGTTTTAAAGTACAGATACCAAGATTTAATCCCCGCTAGGCTCCACCGTTTACGTGGATACAGTTTGTATACAGGTGGAGTGGTCTCTGTGCTAGAGTAAAAATATTTTAATGTTAAACACAACAGCTAGACGTCCACATAAACCCAAACGCCATCATTAAAAAAATCTACCACCCTCTTTTCTCTGTGTGGACATATAAATTTAAAATAAAACCCTAACACAATGCTGCCATATTGTACTTGCCGTTTGTAAGTTGTTTGAGAAACATAATCAGCATTTTTTTTTCAATTTAAAAAAAGTAATTGCTTTAAACCCGTATGTTACGTTGATCCTGGGTGCGGCGCTGATTCTTCATGTATTTCAAATTTGGATTTTTTTTTTGTGCTTGTGGCATCTGGCATCAAAATGGCCAGTGACAAAACGGCCCCGTTAAAACGACCCCAACATTTAGGGGCTATTTTAAAAGGGTCGTTTTGTCATTGGCCGATTTGTTGGGGTCGTTTTGTCATGGGCCGATTTGTTGGGGTCGTTTTGTCATGGGCCGATTTGTTGGGGTCGTTTTGTCATGGGCCGATTTGATTAAGGTCTCTTTGACGGGGCTATTTTGTCACGGGCCGTTTTACTGTGCACCTTTTTTTTAAAAATTGACATAACAACCACGACTTCAATGTATACCAAATATTAACTTTTACAACCTGTTACACAAGAATCTGTTAAACCAGAATTCGGTGTACTAGTCTAGACAGTAGCCTGAGTTAACTGATATCTATCAGCTGTACTCACACCGTGAACCACAACAGCTGGTGGTGATTCAACCTTCATTAATTCACTCATTAATTCACTCATTAAACGTCGCATTAAAAATATAGCCATGTGGATAAAGCTCCGTTTTGATCATATAAAGGCGCCACCTCGCCTTTGACAAAATAATTTGTCACTTCTGATTAAATCTAGTGCATCACAATTTCCACGTAAACCATAGCTTAGCTGTACATAATGTACATATTGTGTAAAGTACGCATGATTGTACAGTTGATGTTCTATGCTTGAAAAACATGGCACATGATTTATGATGAAAAATCTCTTTTTAGATATAGTACGGTAACAGATGTTAGATTAATGTTACATTACACTTGCACCGGACAGTGATTGATATAGTATGGTTGTTTAACACAAGTTATTTTCATATTAATGGTAACTTTATGGTAACTCGTGTAGCAATGTGCATATTGATTGAGGTGAGTTTATACATGTGTTCGGCGGTCCGATGTAATTAATATTGTTTGTTAATTGGTGGATCGGGGTAATTAGTGCTGTTTTCTAATTGGATTTTGTTACCGTTTAGATGAGTTGATAATAATTCGTTAAGCGTGTCGACTACATATTTGATGTGATGATAGCACATTAGTGGTTAGGACTTGTGTAGCACACTGATGTAAAGGACATGTGTAAAGCTATGGTGAGTAGCACATGTGTAGCACTAGTGAGTAGCACATGTGTAGAACTGATGTGTAGAGCATGTGTAGCAGAGGTTTAGCACTGGTGGGTAGCAATGTGTAGAACTGGTGAGTAGCACATGTGTAGCAAGTATGTAGCACTGGTGGGTAGAGCATGTGTAGCATTGGTGGGTAACACATGTGTAGCAGATGTGTAGAAATTGTGAGTAGCAGATGTGTAGCATTGGTGTGTAGAACTGGAAAAGAGTACACATGTATGCCCCATCCAAATACTGTTTATCCGAACAATTTATTTCAGCTTAACTTCTCTTTATCCGTTTAATTAATCACACTGTCCACCCACCCACCCACCTCATGTAATCCGATAAACGTCTCATTGAACAAATTGAATTCTCATTTGTTATATCTAACTCCCCTCCATGTTACATGAATGCACCTCACCAATGTCAAATCTGATTAAACTACGTTCAACACTAGATGTGTACAAGTGTATACTTGCGTGCTGGTGTACAGTTGTACACATCCGTGGGTCATCTGCATTGTCTTGTGTATTGGGGACGGGAAAGATATAAAAATGTCACCGTGTCTACATGGGTCGGGTTGGTGGGGGGGGGGGGAGGGTCGATATTAGTCCAGTGTTGATAAGAATGTATCTTTGTCAAATAGGGCGAGTAGATGTGTTAGAGGATACACACTACACTGTGTGTTTAGATTCGTGTGAGTGTGTTAAGCTTGGGGGATTCGCCATGCTCTTTGTGTTTAGGTTAGTATGGCTGTGTTAAGCTAAGCTAAAGGGTACACACTGCACTGTGTAATAAGATTCATGTGGATGTGTTACCCGTGATGTTGAGGTAGATGTAGTATTTACAGCGACACGCTGATTGTGGTTTTGTGTAAATTGTTGTGTTGCCTTCTCACGTAAATTGCCGCGCTGTGTAAAGGGTGAGGACTATAATGTAAAGCGTTGCATATTTTTAAACAAGTCGCATAGCATTGAGGAACAATAAATTTCAGTGAGTAACAAAAGTAAGTTGGTCTTTCATAAAATCGTTCTAATGAATCGAATGATTAATATTGATCAATAAATAATCAATAACTCGTAGATCAAACAGCTAATGATAGCCTTGAGTGTTCCCGAAGCCTGGTCCATACAGGCAGGTAGTATCAGCTTTATCTGGCACTGTACACTACCCGTCCCCGGGTCCACGAATGGTGCTGGGTGTGTAGGTAAGGCTACAGGTGGGACTTGCAAGAGTTTGGTAATTTATTATTATTGATGACATTAGAAGTAAATTAAGCCGTACTGAAAAATAAATAATGTAGAGATGTGTATGAAAAACTGTTAAGCAAAATATAAAAAAAAAATATTTCGAGAATTTTCAGACTGCGAAACCGATAACGCTATACGCTCAGTTTGACTTGAGCAAGGAGTATGCATGAAGTATGAAAAATGAAAATGTGCAATATTTCAAATAAGCTGTTTCCAGTATGCTTATTACCTATTTGGTACCAAATTATTTTTTTTCTTCTTCTTTTCGCCTCAGACATGTAATTTACAAGGTCAGTTTGCCTTCCATATTCGCTTTAGTATTACAGTTTTCATCATCTGCATGTGAGGACTGATACAGATTTACAATAGTAATACTTCTTTCTTAGATGTAGCCTACTTTGATTCTTTTAAGATGGTTTACTTATACATAGATCTAATACAAAACGTCTAATTACAATTTTATTAAAAAAAAACAACTGAAAATGCAAATGTGTAATCAAAAGATGATTTAATGGATTTTTTTCTCCTCGGCGTGGTGGGCTCAGGGAGGGGGGAGGGTATGGGCTTTTAAAGTAGAACTGAAATAAATTTGGGATTAAAGATAAACAAAAACTTTTTTTTTAAATTTAAATTTTTAATTTTATTATAATTTTTTTAGTGTTTGGATAGTTATTGTCACATAGAGTTGCTCTTTTTTTTAGCGGTTCGAGCCGTGCTTTTAATTACAACAGGCTTCTGACTTTTCAGAATAGCACAGGTTCTTCTAACAGCTGGGTTAATCAAATCCTTTCTAGATCTATAGTTGTTGGCTTGCAAGATGGCACGAATGCAGAGTTTCTTCCAGGCATCTCCCCCCAAGAAAGTCTATCGCC